TTTAGCTATTTATTTAACTTCTATTTATCAATTATACTTTTGCATAAAAAAAGTATAAATAATATTTACCCTAAAAATAACAATAGTTTAAACAATTCCCATTGTATTTCACAAATAGCCCATGCAAAAAGCCAAAAAAACAATAACCAGCCAAAAAAAGAGCAAATATTTTATGTGAAAGTTATTAAAAAAAAATTCACTAAAACAAAAAACTCCAACTTTGTTGTTTTTGATTATAAACTTTCATTTTAAAAAACCTCAAGAAAAAAATATAATAAAAATCATCTATAGAATATGTTTATAATACTGTTATCCATTGTTGTTGTGGCTTGTAGTTGTTGTTTGTTTCTATTGTTTGCATAGATGGTCTATAAACACAACCTTAAAAACATCACTTCCTTTAGTTATCGTTTCCCTTTCCTGTATCATTAGTTTGTTGTTGTTGCTGTTGCTTTTTTTGTGTCCATATTATTTTGTGTGTGTTTTTTTTGGCTTTAGCCAACGTGACCAAAATTGAACAATTCATAATTTTAATTTAAAAACTTTATTTTTAGGGGGTAAAAGTTGATTTTATTTTTTTGTATGCAAAAAAAATGTTTTAAACTTTTAACACACACATACAGACAGAATATTAAAAAAAAAAAATAAAAGCAAAAGGATTTTTAAAACCCTTTAATATTTGAATATTCTCCCCTCAGCTAGTACATGTAGACAAATAATAAACATTTTCATATAAACATACCAATACATACTTAGATATTTCGAAAGTTTCCCAACAAACATAAAGGTTTAGTTAAAAATTGTGAATGACTTTGCCATGAGAAACTAAAGGAGGTAAACATATATATAAAACAAGTATTAAAAGTTGCAAATCTCGCAAATTGTAACAGGAAGAGTCCGTAAATTTTTTACGGCCAACTTTGACATCTATAAGAATATTTTTGGAAGAAATGGGCGAAGTAGCTATAGTAGACGTGGCACTTTCCATATTAAAAAATTATGAAATCAGTGGATCCGAGAAAATATAACAGTTAGGGTGCTCAAATTTTTGTCGGAGCCACTTTAGTGTAAATATGAACAAAAATGGGAGGACTAGTAGCATTGGACGTGCACCTCCCATATATATTAAATACATTATCTTGGAAACTATTAGAGTTAGAATCATCAATATTTTCGCGAAGAACTTTAATATTCATTGAAATATTTTGAGGAAAAAAGACGAACTCCTATAAGAATTAAATAGAAAAATTCGTATATCTGTACCGCAATTCAGTAACCTTTTAACTACAAAATTTTGTCGTTAAATAGTATAAATTCGTAAGTTAACAATAATTGGCGTTATGTGGTATTCTGAATTTTATTTCACCGATTTTTTTTCGTTAAACAAAATCATTAGTTAACGAGAAGTATCGGCAATGTTACGACATATTAAAAGTTCACGTTAATAATTTTATATTTTAAAATATTTCAATACAAAACTTCTGTCATTCCCATATTTTTCCGACGTTTGTCGTTAAAACTATTATAAGTTCGTTAAAAGGTACAGAATTGAAAATTCGTTAATGCAACCGATATTTGTCGTTACTTTACGATATCGGTTGTTAAAATTAAAAAATTACAGAATTGCGGTACTGAGAAACTTTAGAGCTAGAATCTTCAATTTTTACATGAAGAATTTTAGGAAAAAACTGGCGAAATTGGAACCTCCCATATGAAATAAATACAAATGTCGAATATCTGGGAAAAAAGCTAAGCACACTGGGTATAGCTAGTTGGTCCATAAAGATTGTTTTCGCACTCAAAAAGAGCTTTGCAAGTTGTTAGGTAGTTAGTGAGTTAGTTAGTTAGTTAGTTAGTTAGTTAGTTAGTTAGTTAGTTAGTTAGTTAGTTAGTAAGTTAGTTAGTTAGTTGGTTAGGCAGTTAGCTAGTTAGTTAGTTAGTTAGTCAGTTAGTTAGTTAGTAGTTAGTTAGTTAGTTAGTAGTTAGTTAGTTAGTTAGTTAGTTAGTTAGTTAGTTAGTTAGTTAGTTAGTAGTTAGTAGTTAGTAGTTAGTTAGTTAGTTAGTTAGTTAGTAGTTAGTAGTTAGTTAGTTAGTTAGTTAGTTAGTAGTAGTTAGTTAGTTAGTAGTTAGTTAGTTAGTTAGTTAGTTAGTAGTAGTTAGTTAGTTAGTAGTTAGTTAGTTAGTTAGTTAGTAGTTAGTTAGTTAGTTAGTTAGTTAGTTAGTTAGTTAGTTAGTAGTAGTTAGTTAGTTAGTTAGTTAGTTAGTAAGTTAGTTAGTTAGTTGGTTAGGCAGTTAGCTAGTTAGTTAGTTAGTTAGTCAGTTAGTTAGTTAGTTAGTTAGTTAGTAGTTAGTTAGTTAGTTAGTTAGTTAGTTAGTTAGTTAGTTAGTAGTTAGTTAGTAGTAGTTAGTTAGTTAGTTAGTTAGTTAGTTAGTTAGTTAGTTAGTCGTAGTTAGTTAGTTAGTTAGTTAGTTAGTTAGTTAGTTAGTAGTTAGTTAGTTAGTTAGTAGTTAGTTAGTTAGTTAGTTAGTTAGTTAGTAGTTAGTAGTTAGTTTAGGTTAGTTAGTTAGTTAGTTAGTTGGTTAGTAGTTAGTTAGTTAGTTAGTTAGTTAGTTAGTTAGTTAGTTAGTTAGTTTAGTTAGTTAGTTAGTTAGTAGTTAGTAGTTAGTTAGTTAGTTAGTTAGTTAGTTAGTTAGTTTTAGTTAGTTAGTTAGTTAGTAGTTAGTTAGTTAGTTAGTTGTTAGTTAGTTAGTAGTTAGTAGTTAGTTAGTTAGTAGTTAGTTAGTTAGTTAGTTAGTTAGTAGTTAGTTAGTTAGTTAGTTAGTTAGTAGTTAGTTAGTTAGTTAGTTAGTTAGTTAGTTAGTTAGTTAGTTAGTTAGTTAGTTAGTTAGTTAGTAGTTAGTTAGTTAGTTAGTTAGTTAGTTAGTTAGTTAGTTAGTTAGTTAGTTAGTAGTTAGTTAGTTAGTTAGTAGTTAGTTAGTTAGTTAGTTAGTTAGTTAGTTAGTTAGTTAGTTAGTTAGTTAGTTAGTTAGTTAGTTAGTTAGTTAGTTAGTTAGTTAGTTAGTTAGTTAGTTAGTTAGTTAGTTAGTTAGTTAGTTAGTTAGTTAGTTAGTTAGTAGTTAGTTAGTTAGTTAGTTAGTTAGTTAGTAGTTAGTTAGTTAGTTAGTTAGTTAGTTAGTTAGTTAGTTAGTAGTTAGTTAGTTAGTTAGTTAGTAGTTAGTTAGTTAGTTAGTTAGTAGTTAGTTAGTTAGTTAGTTAGTTAGTAGTTAGTTAGTTAGTTAGTTAGTTAGTTAGTTAGTTAGTTAGTTAGTTAGTTAGTTAGTTAGTTAGTAGTTAGTTAGTTAGTTAGTAGTTAGTAGTAGTTAGTTAGTTAGTTAGTTAGTTAGTTAGTTAGTTAGTTAGTTAGTTAGTTAGTTAGTTAGTTAGTTAGTTAGTTAGTTAGTTAGTTAGTTAGTTAGTTAGTTAGTTAGTTAGTTAGTTAGTTAGTTAGTTAGTTAGTTAGTTAGTTAGTTAGTTAGTTAGTTAGTTAGTTAGTTAGTTAGTAGTTAGTTAGTAGTTAGTTAGTTAGTTAGTTAGTTAGTTAGTTAGTTAGTTAGTTAGTAGTTAGTTAGTTAGTAGTTAGTTAGTTAGTTAGTTAGTTAGTTAGTTAGTTAGTTAGTAGTTAGTTAGTTAGTTAGTTAGTTAGTTAGTTAGTTAGTTAGTTAGTTAGTTAGTTAGTTAGTTAGTTAGTTAGTTAGTTAGTTAGTTAGTTAGTTAGTTAGTTAGTTAGTTAGTTAGTTAGTTAGTTAGTTAGTTAGTTAGTAGTTAGTTAGTTAGTAGTTAGTTAGTTAGTTAGTTAGTTAGTTAGTTAGTTAGTAGTTAGTTAGTTAGTTAGTTAGTTAGTTAGTTAGTTAGTTAGTTAGTTAGTTAGTTAGTTAGTAGTTAGTTAGTAGTTAGTTAGTTAGTTAGTTAGTTAGTTAGTTAGTTAGTTAGTAGTTAGTTAGTTAGTTAGTTAGTTAGTTAGTTAGTTAGTTAGTTAGTTAGTTAGTTAGTTAGTTAGTTAGTTAGTTAGTTAGTTAGTTAGTTAGTTAGTTAGTTAGTTAGTAGTTAGTAGTTAGTTAGTTAGTTAGTTAGTTAGTTAGTAGTTAGTTAGTTAGTTAGTTAGTTAGTTAGTTAGTTCAGCAATTGCTTCACCTCTGGTTGGATTTAAAAACAAAATGTTTGCTGGGATGTGGGTGACTTAAACAAGTACACAACTGTTTGTTGCATAAAGACAAATTTGACTGAAAAAAAGGTTGAATTCTTTTCTATTTTTTAATCGAAATATGTATGTATTTGTAGTTGTTTTTTCTCATCTTTCATTTATTTACATGTAAATATATATATAAATTGTTTTGTAGTTACAAAGTTATTTTTTATTCAGTTGTTGGTCTTTTTATTCGACTTTTTTCCTGCTCTTTTAGGATAAAAATGTATTTTGTCTAGGAGTTATTTTTCGGTATTTGGGATTGAAGTATAGTTATTGGAGTGGGTGTTTTGAGTAAGAGTTAACTTTTTAATCACGTAACTATTATTATGTTAATTTTATATACTTTTTTTTCTCTGTCAAAAGAGGTGTGTACATGATGGACATTGTAATTTGCTTAACATTAAAACTTATTATGAATTAATCGCTTTTATGTTGGAATATTTGTTAAAAGAGTTTGTTTAATAATTCAAAATTGAGCAGACAGATTTTTTTTTGGGGGAAAAAAGTTGGCATTTTATGCATGTTTTAGAATTTTAATCATTTTATGGGTTTTAAAGGAAAATTTATAAAAAGATTGGAAAAGTTAAGAAAATTCCAAATGAATAATATGAATTTGAATTAGTTATTCAAATTTCTATACAAATATTTTTCCTCACAAAGTCCCACTGTGTCTTTAGAAAAGCTCAACCGTACAAAAGATGATTGTGTCAAGTTCAAAAACGTATTTAAGCGTATGTTTCGTACTGATAAGATTGAATTGAATTCAACAAATGAACGAAACAGAAAGACAAAACTCAGCATCTAGAATTTAGTTTAAAAAATAAATTATTTCAATAAAAACATACTAAACAACAGCAGCGGCATAATTTCAACCAACCAAACGATTTGATTAAAAACAAATACTATAGAAAACTTTCAGTTTCTAAAACTAAAAAAAAAAACAAACAAAGATTTATAAAACCATTATTTAATTAAAGAAAAAAATATGCGATATTGTTTATTATTTAGTAAGTTTTAATTAATATGTAATATAAATAGAAAAGTAATTAATAAAGTTTATACTTTATAGTTATAGTTACATTTACCATCCTTTTGGGGGCTTTTTGTTCCGGCCAAACAATCTCTTCGGAGGAATTTACTTGGAAATTAATAGAGAATTCCTTAAATTCCACTAAAAATACAGAGAATTTTGTTATTGCACCCTATGAGGCCTACAGGGTGTATAAAGAGGTTTACGATATTACAGAAGAGAGTGACGAAAGTGATTCTAAAGAAAATGAGACAGAGGAATTAACCACTATTATGCCGGCCATTAGAAAACAACAAAAGTTGCTGCCTTCTAATCAAACACAAAATGAAAATTTACTTTCCAGCGTATCTCTAACAGCTAGATGGTCTTTCAATTTTCAAACCCGTGATACCCACAAGCGTATCTTTCATCAATATGGTAAAACAAATCAAAAATTCTGGGCCGATTTTTTGCGCAAAGACGATACCTTCTACTATACACATGATGAACAATTAAACGCCAGTATTTTGGAATTGCCTCTAAATGTTAAGGAAATTAAACTTAAATTAATTTTACCCGATCAATGGGATGCTTTGCCACAACTTAAGGATTATTTGCTGGAAAATATGGAGGAATTCAGTAAACTCATGAAGAAAACTCAAAGAATGACTTTGGTGCGAGTTCTATTACCGAAATTTCATTTGTCGTATCGAAAAGATTTAACGGACTTCTTTGAGGAGGTGAGTTAGTCTATAAAATATTTTGAAGGTTAAAATAATATCGAAAAATTTGTTGTTTGTATTAGATTTCTTCCAAGCAAGTGGAAAAGTATGAAAAGATATATCAATTATCTAATTGGAATTTAATGAACGTGGTATTGGTCGTTTCGAAGAACAAGTAAGTAAAATTTGAATCTAAATTGAAGTTTAATTATAGATTAGACCAGACCACAGACTATAGACTACATTATACACTAGACTATAGATTAGACTATAGACTAGGACTATAGACTAGACTATAGACTAGACTATAGAATAGACTATAGACTATAGACTAGAATATAGACTAGACTATATACTAGACTATAGACTAGACTATAGACTAGACTATAGACTAGACTATAGCAGCTATAGACTAGACTATAGACGAGACCATAGACTAGACTATAGACTAGCTATAGACTAGACTAGACTAGACTATAGACTAGACTATAGACTAGACTATAGACTAGACTATAGACTAGACTATAGACTAGACTATAGACTAGACTATAGACTAGACTATAGACTAGACTATAGACTAGACTATAGACTAGACTATAGACTAGACTATAGACTAGACTATAGACTAGACTATAGACTAGACTATAGACTAGACTATAGACTAGACTATAGACTAGACTATAGACTAGACTATAGACTAGACTATAGACTAGACTATAGACTAGACTATAGACTAGACTATAGACTAGACTATAGACTAGACTATAGACTAGACAATAGACTAGACTATAGACTAGACTATAGACTAGACTATAGACTAGACTATAGACTAGACTATAGACTAGACTATAGACTAGACTATAGACTAGACTATAGACTAGACTATAGACTAGACTATAGACTAGACAATAGACTAGACTGTAGACTAGACTATAGACTAGACTATAGACTAGACTATAGACTAGACTATAGACTAGAGAGATAGACTAGACTATAGACTAGACTATAGACTAGACTATAGACTAGACTATACTAGACTATAGACTAGACTATAGACTAGACTATAGACTAGACTATAGACTAGACTATAGACTAGACTATAGACTAGACTATAGACTAGACTATAGACTAGACTATAGACTAGACTATAGACTAGACTATAGACTAGACTATAGACTAGACTAGACTAGACTATAGACTAGACTATAGACTAGACTATAGACTAGACTATAGACTAGACTATAGACTAGACTATAGACTAGACTATAGACTAGACTATAGACTAGACTATAGACTAGACTATAGACTAGACTATAGACTAGACTATAGACTAGACTATAGACTAGACTATAGACTAGACTATAGACTAGACTATAGACTAGACTATAGACTAGACTATAGACTAGACTATAGACTAGACTATAGACTAGACTATAGACTAGACTATAGACTAGACTATAGACTAGACTATAGACTAGACTATAGACTAGACTATAGACTAGACTAGACTAGACTATAGACTAGACTATAGACTAGACTATAGACTAGACTATAGACTAGACTATAGACTAGACTATAGACTAGTACTATAGACTAGACTATAGACTAGACTATAGACTAGACTATAGACTAGACTATAGACTAGACTATAGACTAGACTATAGACTAGGACTATAGACTAGACTATAGACTAGACTATAGACTAGACTATAGACTAGACTATAGACTAGACTATAGACTAGACTATAGACTAGACTATAGACTAGACTATAGACTAGACTATAGACTAGACTATAGACTAGACTATAGACTAGACTATAGACTAGGACTATAGACTAGACTATAGACTAGACTATAGACTAGACTATAGACTAGACTATAGACTAGACTATAGACTAGACTATAGACTAGACTATAGACTAGACTATAGACTAACATAGACTAGACTATAGACTAGACTATAGACTAGACTATAGACTAGACTATAGACTAGACTATAGACTAGACTATAGACTAGACTATAGACTAGACTATAGACTAGACTATAGACTAGACTATAGACTAGGACTATAGACTAGACTATAGACTAGACTATAGACTAGACTATAGACTATAGACTAGACTATAGACTAGACTATAGACTAGACTATAGACTAGACTATAGACTAGACTATAGACTAGACTATAGACTACTATAGACTAGACTATAGACTAGACTATAGACTAGACTATAGACTAGACTATAGACTAGGACTATAGACTAGACTATAGACTAGACTATAGACTAGACTATAGACTAGACTAATAGACTAGACTATAGACTAGACTATAGACTAGACTATAGACTAGACTATAGACTAGACTATAGACTAGACTATAGACTAGACTATAGACTAGACTATAGACTAGACTATAGACTAGACTATAGACTAGACTATAGACTAGACTATAGGACTAGACTATAGACTAGACTATAGACTAGACTATAGACTAGACTATAGACTAGACTATAGACTAGACTATAGACTAGATTATAGACTAGACTATAGTCTATAATCTATAGACTAGACTAATAGACTAGACTATAGACTAGACTATAGACTAGACTATAGACTAGACTATAGACTAGACTTAGACTAGACTATAGACTAGGACTATAGACTAGGACTATAGACTAGACTATAAGACTAGACTATAGATGATCTATAGTATGGTCTGTAGTCTTGCCTACAAATTTGTCTGCAGACTCGTTTAAAGTCTTGAATAACGTCTCGACGAATCTTTAAACAAGACTACTCACTGGACTATAGTCTGGACTGTAGACTAGACTATGGCCTAGAAAATAATAGAGACTATGCAGAGTATAGTCTAGAATTTATACGGTACTAAGTAATGTACTAACTAGAAATGACCATAGTCTAGACTAGGACTGTAGCCTGGATCAATGACTGTTTAGGGTTATAGTATACATTACTAAACCGATATAACTCATTAGACCTTTTACGATTTTTCTGATGATTTGCAAGTATCTTTTAACTATCTTTTTTCTTGTCTATTTTCTTCTAGCTGTTTTATTTTGGAATTCCTATTCCTATTTAAGAGTATCACCCGAGTTATTCGATATTAGTCATCCGTTTTTATTTCTGATCACCAATAAAGACGGCGTACAGTTTTTGGACAAGTGGTTAAAATGCAACATTAATGGAAAAGTTAAAGTAATAATTTTGTGGAGAATGTAGACTAGAGTATAATTTAACAATTTGTATGACAAAAAAAATTAATAAGTTTATTCTGAAATAAAAGGGTAATTTTATATTTATCTTTATTTTAAGAAGTTACAAATGCGTCTTTCCTTGACAAAATGCTCTTCTTTCAAAAACAGTACAGACTATAGACGGGTATAGAACCCAGGCTTAGACGGGTGTATAGTCCAGGTTATAGAGGGGCCTATAGGTCAGATTATAGTTCAGACTATTGAAGAGACTATAGTATATAAACGGACAATAGTCCAGACTAAAGGCAGAATTAACGTTTCAATGTTTTCAAATGTGAAATGAAACTTTTTTTTTAATATTACTAATCTTGTAAAAACTTTAATTTTAATCATCTCAAAACCCAAAGACATATTCGTTGATTAGATGTCATTTTTATTTGCCAAAAAAAGAAAATAAATGTATTGTTCTTTTATTTCTTTATCACGTCTAAAGGAAACATTTCAGTCTTTATTTTCATCACAAAAAATAAAAATTTGTTAAAACACTTTTGCTCATTTTCACACGAACCTACAAAGCAAAGTCTTTTAACAAAAGGGGAAGACAAACACTGAAATGCTCAGACTTATTTATAACAACAAAAGATTTAAAAAATAAAATAAAAATAATCGAAAACTTTAGTGGGGATAAAAAAGGAATGCAAAAGGAAAATTAAAAAAAAAAAAAAATAAATTCTATACAAATAGTGCAACAACAATATATACAAATGTGCAACATTGTATTAAAAGTATTTCAAAGCGTGAAAGAAAATGTCGCAGAAACAAAAGGAGAATAACAAAAAAACAATATTGTCAGCTACAACGAAATAAATGTCAATTGACCACACAATGTCAGTGTCATTGTTAATCTATACCAGTGGTGCTCAAACACATACTACCATAGACTACCATAGTTTTATTTGTGTTGGTAAAGCAGCAGAGAACAGAATTCAATTCAAAATAAAAGTATACTAATAACTACAAACTATAAAGTATATGCTAACTGTCAAATATTTATTATGGATTTTGACAGCCAGCGTATAGCAACGTCTATATATAAAAAACTATCAACTGTTCTCCCATGTTCTCCTACATTAATTCGGCTTTCTCAAAATTTTGTTGTTGTATTTCTGTGTGTATTTTAAAAACGTCGCGCACAGACCTTGCTTTGACAAGTGCTGATCAGCAACTGATTTGATTTTGTTTTTCAAGTTGAGAGCAAACCAACTGATATTGCTCATTATAAAAAGAAGAAGAATTAAACCTATAGTGTATGTGTATCAACTTAGCGTCAGCAGAATTTTCTTACCCTATCACGCGTGCTATGACACGGCCATATTGAGCTTCTCTGATCTATACTCTCAACACAAGAAGACACAATAACAAAAACAACAACGTTTGCCACAACAATAATAAAAAATACAACAAAATAATACCAATACAATACAAATGAAATGATGGCAAACAATAACAAATAGTTGCAAACGTTAAGACATATAAAAGGATACTGTGACCGTTAACGTCCCTTCCCAGGATCAGAACAATACCAAGGAAGTCTTGTATTTTTTTGGAAACTTCTTCTGAAGAAAGCTTTATAGGGTTTAATAGGGAAAATATTTCATTCCAGGCTTTGAAAAATGGTAATTATTGCAACAAAAGTACTTTGGTACTAATGTGATTTATTTGAGGTTTTAATGCATCTAGACTATGAAAGGGGTTACAGACTATAGACGGGACCATAGACTAGACTATAGATGGGACCATAGACTAGACTATAAATGGAACCATAGACTAGACTATAAATGGGACTATAGACGGGACTATAGACGGGACTATAGACGGGACTATAGACGGGACTATAGACGGCACTATAGACTAGACTATAGACTAATAGACTAGACTATAGACTAGACTATAGACTAGACTATA